TTAAAGCTTAATGTGCGCAAAAATTCTAGTGGATAGTACAACTCTAATTCGTCTATGTTTCCACTAGTTGAACGAATTGAATCACAACTAAAATAGGTTGTAGATTTACCAGAAATAAGATCCAAAATAAAATCATTTATTTCATCCACATTACAATTCTTTGGAGTAACAATTCCTCTTAATTTCTTTAAGATAATCAATATTAAAAAAAAGAAGTTTGCAAATTGTCATAAATTTCAGAAATAATGGTATGTAATGGATTTTTGTTAGCAGGCAATAAAAATTGGCTTGGAATATTGATCCATTTGCTATCACAATCATCTTCCTCAAACCTCTATGGTTCCATCTCCAATACACAAAATCCAATGTTAGAAAGATGAAACAAATTCTCTCTCGATTAAATTTAATGTAGGGTTAAATAGTCTCATGTTTTTATGTAAAATAAAAATATGATAGTGTATGACCAAAGGTATGAAAAGTAATTGAGGAACTAATAATGTCTTCTTTGGAACCTTGCGATTTAACTGGAAGCACTTGTCTGAAATCACCACCTAAAATGATAGGTTTTCCACCAAATGGTACCTTGCGATTTAACTGGAAGCACTTGTCTGAAATCACCACCTAAAATGATAGGTTTTCCACCAAATGGTATATTAGGCATGTCTAAAAGATCACAAAATGAAATCACCACCTAAAATGATAGGTTTTCCACCAAATGGTATATTAGGCATGTCTAAAAGATCACAAAATGATTTATCTAAAGTTTCAAAACATCTCTTACCACTCATGGGAGCTTCATCTCATATGATCAAAACTGAAGATTCAATAAGTATACAGAGCTGGGTTCCTTTTTTTATTTAATAAAAAGAAGTTTAATCCATAGTAAGAGATATTTTAAATCTAGAATGAGCTATACGACCACCACGTAATAAAAGAGTAGCTACTGTGGAGGAAGCAATTGCTAAAAAACATTGCTTTTTGAGGGGAAATTGATTTTCGCCCATTTTGAGCGGAAATTGATTTTTATAAAATAAGGTATTTTTTTGTATTTTACAAAAAAATTTCTGTAATTTTTTTTAACCAAATACAATTTATAAAAATCTCTAAAAAAATTTTATTTATAAAACTGTCAATATCAGCCATTTACAATAAGGTTTTTTATAAAACCACTCAGCCAAACAGCCTCGTAAAGTAGTGTATTCCGTGAGCTCCGCACAAGGAATCCCAACAGAATAATTATTGTAAAACCACTCAACTTTGACCTTATCCTACTCGGGCCTCGGCAGCGCACAAGGAATCCCAACAGAATAAGGACAAATTTTCGAAACCAACCCATTTGACGTTTTTATTGCAAAAAACAACCCCTTTCACATTTAATTAGAGAAACCGACCTGGTTTCAGCACTGTCGCTGAAACCAGGTCAGTTTCGATAAAAAACTTTACGAAACTTCACGGGAGTTCAACTCCCGTGAAGTTTAGTACGTTTTTAAACTTCACGGGAGTTGAACTCCCGTGAAGTTTAACTCCCCCAATAACCTCGGAAATTAGCCTGCAACTTCACGGGAGTTCAACTCCCGTGAAGATGCAGTCCATATTTTCCAGCGGAGGATTTTACCCCGCAGCTTCACGGGAGTTGAACTCCCGTGAAGCTGCAGTCCATATTTTCCAGCGAGCGAGTCGCGGAAGATTTTACCCTGCATCTTCACGGGAGTTCAACTCCCGTGAAGTTGCAGGTTTTGCAAAAAACATGCACAGCATGCATACGTCTACCTATTTAACTCATATATACACCTATTTACCTGTTGACAATAATTACTGCAATATATATATTATTTAAACACGCACGAATCAAACAATACGCAAAAAGATCATATATCGAGCTATAATTGATCCATAAAAGTATAGTATTTAAAAATTCATACAATTTACAAATTTTAACAAAATAAGTTCAAATACAACCCAATATAGCTCCTCTCCTTCCTCTCCCTCTCTTCCCCCTCCCCCTCGCCATCAGTATTGCATGTTTCTTCGTTTTCAGTTAACTTACTCTCAATTAGCTCTCTCATTGATCAATTAAATTGCACCGTGTTATTTGATCGAGATTTGTGTGTCTTTCAAGAGAAGGAAACGGGGAGGAGGATTGGGACTGGTATCAGACGTGATGGTCTTTGGTATTTGGACAGGGAGACAGCAATGATTGCTGCTGCTGTTAGCGGAGGGCCAGAGGCAGAAGCGATGCTTCAACATTGCCGGTTAGGGCATTTATCTTTTGAGAGTTTAAATAGATTAGAACCTGAGTTAATGAAGAAAGTGGATAGAAAAGAGTTATTTTGTAATGCATGTGAACTTGGAAAACATACTCGTTCTACTTATAGAATGATTGGTCTTCGAAGTTGTGAACCATTTGCACTTGTCCATTCTGATGTTTGGGGACCATGTCCTACTACCTCTATCAGTGGTTTTAGATGGTTTGTTACTTTCATTGATTGTTATTCACGTATGACCTGGATATACATGATGAAGCAGAAATCAGAGGTTTACAAATGTTTTCAAGATTTCTCGGCTTATGTGAAGACACAGTTTGGAGTGCAGGTGAAGATTCTTCGAACAGATAATGGGACTGAGTATGTCAATAAGGAGTTTGCAGCTTTCATCTTTAATCAGGGAATTGTTCATCAAACCACCTGCCCAGACACCCCTGCTCAGAATGGGGTGGCTGAGCGTAAGAACAGGCATCTACTGGAAGTGGCACGCTCATTGATGTTGACAATGAATGTGCCTAAGTTTTTATGGAGTGAGGCTGTTATGACAGCAGCTTATTTGATCAACAGAATGCCATCGAGAGTATTAGGGATGAAGACACCATGTGAGATGCTTTTGGGCTCGAATGTTTTTGTTGTTCCACCAAGAGTGTTTGGATGCACATGTTATGTGAGAGATCACAGATTGATGGTGAGTAAACTGGATCCGCAAGCAGTTAAATGTATCTTTGTTGGCTACTCATCAAGTCAAAAAGGATACAAGTGTTGGTGTCCCACTGAAAGAAGGCTGTTTGTCAGTATGGATGTGACTTTTCGGGAGTTTGAACCTTTTTATGGGGAGAAGACGGAGTTGAGTTACTTGTTTGGAGATGGCTCTACTGATGCTAGTAGAGAGGGGGAGAATGAGAATGAGAATGATATTGTGGTCGGGATGATTCCATGTCCTCTTGAGTCATCGAGTAGTGATGGTACATCGCCGAGTAGTGATGGTGACTTAGGAGTTGGTAGTCAAAGTCAGGGGGAGCTGAGAGTATACACGAGGAGACAGAAACAGCAGCATGAGCCGCCTCCCGTGCCTGTGTCAGTACCCACAAATGTTGATGACCCAAGTCCCTCCTCTCCAGTGCCTTGCTCTTCTCCTCCACCTGAGTCGATAGGTAACGATTCCTTCCCTGATACCTCTGATACTCCTGTCTTGCCCCGCAGAACCTCTAGAGTCAATGCTGGAAAACCTCCAGCTAAGTTTGGTAATTGGGATACTGATATTGCGAATTACATTTCATATGCATCCATTCCACCTGCATATAAGTCATTCATTGCATCGTTGCATTCAGTGCCTGTACCTAACAACTGGCAGGTAGCTAAGCAAGATCCTAGGTGGTTGAATGCCATGCACGAGGAACTCCAGGCCTTGAAGAAGAATGACACATGGGAGTTGGTACCTTTGCCAGCTAGGAAGCGTGCTGTTGGATGTAAGTGGGTGTATACGGTTAAGCAAACTCCAGAGGGAAAGATCGACAGATACAAGCCCAGATTGGTTGCTAAAGGCTACAGCCAAACATACGGCATTGACTATGACGAGACATTTGCTCCAGTAG